AAGTTGAATTTTTGCAAATAAAAATGAACTGAAAATAGTTTCTGCTTAAATTCCTGTCCACCAATCTATTAAATGTTTCAGCTCTAGTTGCAATCTTTAAAGCTAAACCATATCATTGGGTTAAATAGACCACTCCATCAGGCTAGTTAAGGATGTCTTTGGTTTTTTATTTAAACTCTGACCTTTGTTCGGTTTCTTCTTCTTCCCAGTCGAACCCTCACTGACATTCACAGCTGAAGTGGAATTTTTGAAACCCAAACTGATTCAATCAATGCGGGGTGTCAGGAATTGTTGATAAGCAAAGACAGACGATGCCCTCGGTAGAAAATATAACTCCTTTCTGTGATGATTTTAAGAGTGGCTGTGTGAGTGTGTTGGTGTTTAGGAAGGTTCAAACTTTTGGGACATTACTGAGGAAAAGCAGTGTATATGGTTAAGTACAAAGAAGGATACTGTTACCCAAAGTTACAGCTCATAAGGGTAAAGCTGATGTATCAGTTTGCTGTCAGATGCATGTAGTGTCAGGGAAAAAGGAACTGGGGCAGGCAGCAATCCGGAGAACCAGCACTGATCTGAAAATGCATCACTCCTGTCCCACATCTATTGTGCTGAACAAAATTTGCCTGCCCTCATGCTTTCTGGGAGGAAGTGTCCAACACTTAATACACTAGTTGAGTTGCTGTCCCTTTGAAGCAACAGAGCTTCAGGAATCCTGTGGCGCAGTGTGCCTTGTCCTGAGCATCGAGCAAGTAGGATGGTGGGCCCACACTTCTCAGTGTCATATTGGTAAATGCTAGCTTGATACTAGGGCTGAACCCGAATATCCGAGTGTTTGGATATTTGTTCTTTGGGTAGTTAATTGGTTTTAAATTCAAATATTTACCTCATTAAGGACAGCCTTCATTCCCCCTACCATTTTGTATAACCTTAGTAAATGTGTTCATCACAGAGATGAGGGGCAGAGTTGAGTTGAATATTTGAACCCATATGGGCCTGTAAGCGTGGCAGGGAGTTTGATTTTGTGGCACCAGGCTCTGGAACAACCTTAAGACTTAAGTGCCTGCTGACCTAGACCCGTGACACACCAAGCCAACAGTCACTGTTGAGCATCAGGGTGCATGTGTCACCCTCACCTTTGTGGAGTGCCCCACACAGGTGACACTAGTTGGACCCTGTTGGTGGAGCTTGTTGGTGTGTAAATACACATCTCCACAGAACAGTCTGATTAGCTGTTCAGCTTAGTAAATCAGTGAACAAGAAGGTAAAGGTTTGGGAAAGCCCCTTGAGCCTGTTTCTGTAGTAATCATTATTTAAATGCTGTTTCTCCTTTTTTTTCACCTCGGCGAGCTCCCTTATTCTTCCACGACCAAAAGGCCAAGGGCAGGGAGCACCAGTGCTGTTTGCACCTTCATATCAGCCATATTCTCCATTAGAAAGAGCAGCTGTGTTGAATAAGAGCTGCTTTACTTACAGATTGTGTAGCGGCTGTCTAGCTCCTCTTCTCTCCATTTCTTAATGGTGAATACAGACACCACCACCTGGTGGCAGGGGGACTTATTTCTGTCACGCAGGCTTTGAACACACATGCTAGATGGGCTAGATGGCAACTGGCTGTAGTATGATGTATGTTCAAGGTTCCTTTATTGTCATTCTACATGTGTGACACATGAAGAATGAAATTTGTCACTCAGGACCAGAATATATTAAAAACATATAAAATTATAATATGACAATAAATAACTCACTCTAAAGATAAACCTAATGTAACAACATCTTTTTAAACAATGGGAATCATATCTAAAATGCATCAGTCCATCACAGAGAGTTCATAATTCACAGTTTCTGGTAGAAAACTGGATTTGAGCCTGGTGGTCCTGGCCTTGATACAGGCAGCCTCCTGCCCGAGGGAAGGAGTTCTAACAGTCCATGTGCTGGGTGTGTGGAGGAGGCTCTGGTCCTGCACCTGTTGATGTAGATGTCCTCAGCGGAAGGCAGATTGCAGTGTATGATGGTTTTTTTGGGCTGAATTAATGACCCTCTGCAGCACCTTCCTGTCAGTGGCAGAGCAGCTCCCATACCAGACCGTGATGGAGGATGTCAGGATGCTCTCCACCACACACCAGTAGAAGGCTGTTAAAACCAGAGCATCCAGGTAAGCCCGCTTAAGCCTCCTTAGAAAATATAGATGCTGGTGGGCCGTCTTTATGATGGTAGCTGTATTAATGGTCCATGAAAGTCCCTAGAAATGTGAAGCCCTAAGTCCTTCATGCTGGAAACCATTTCCACAGCCACTCCTCCTCCAGTGAAGAGGAAGTGGGGTATGGCCACTCCTCCTAAAATCCACCACCATCTCCTTTGTCTTGTCCATATTGATGCAGAGGTTGTTTGCCCTGCACCAGTCCATTAAGTGTGATGGACAAGGATGAGATGCCGTGGACTTTAACTGTCTCAGGCTTGTTGGTCAGAAAGTCCAGGACCCAATTGCAGAGGGATGACTTTATGCCAAGCAGCTGGAGTTTGTGGACTAGAGTCTGCGGCATGATTGTGTTAAATGCAGAACTAAAGTCCAGGTGAGCAGCCTAACATAGGTGACTCTGCTCTCCCAGTGGATGAGAGCAGTGTGGATAACAGAGGACACTGCAGCTGATGTATACCGGTTCTTCCTGTAGGCATACTGATGGGGGTCCACAGTGGTGCCAACAGTGTCTAATGTGCACCATGGCGAGCTGTTTAAAGCATTTCATGACTACTGGGGTGAGAGCCACAGGACAACAGTCATTCATGCCTAAGTGTGCTGAGTTCTTGGCCACTGGAATGATGGTAGCTGACATGTTGGCACCACAGCTTGAGGGAGTGAGGTGTTGAAGCTCAGTCAACACATCAGTAAGTTCACTGGCACATTCTCTTAGGACCTGCCTCGAGATATTGTCCAGGCCTGCCGCTTTACAGGGGTTAATCCTCTGCAGGGTCTGTCTCATGTCCACAGTAGACACACTGAGGTTGATCTCATCCGGGGGAACTGTGAGCCTGGAACTGGGGAAGGGGGAGGGGTTGGACTCCTTGAAGCAGGTGTAAAATGTGTTCAGGGCACCAGGGAGAGACAGATCCAGGGGGTATTCAACATCTCTCCTACTGTACTCTGTGATGGCCTTAATGCCCTTCCACATATTCTGAGGGTCATTGGTGGAAAAATGACCCTGTATTTTAAGAGCGTAGCTGGCCTTTGCCATTTTAATTACAGCCCACAGATCCCTCCTTGCTGCCCACAATAATGGTGGGTCTCCAGACCTGAATGTTGCATCCCATGCCTTCAGGAGAGACCGCACCTCTCCGTTAAGCCAGGGTTTCTGGGTGGGGTGGACAAAAATTTTCCTGGTGGTGGTGACTTCACTAATACATTTGCTGAGGTATCCACAAACAGCTGTCACATACTCCTCCAGGTCTACCTCGCCCTCACCACCTGCTGCCTCTCTGAAGATGTCCCAGTTGCTGCACACAAAACAGTCCTGGAGCATGGGCACGGCTTCCCTTTGCCTTACAGTGATGGTCTTTTGTGTGGGTTTGTTGTTTTTGAGGGTAGCACGGTGGGTACCATTAGAATAGGGATATGATCGGAAAACCCCAGATGGGGTTGCGGCAGTGCTCTGTATACCTCCTTTCTATTGGTGTACATGTGATCCAGCATATTGTTCCCCCTGGTGGCTATGGAGACGTGCTGGTTAAATTGAGGCAGAATGTCCATCAGTTAAAATCTCCAGCTACCATGAAAAACGCCTCCGGGTGTCTATCCTGGAGCGCACATAGGTGTTCATGTAGCTTATTAAGGGCTAAGCTATAGTTGGAATTCAGCGGGAGCCACAATGATCACAACTGTAACCTCCCAGGGTAGATAATGTGGTCGGCACTTCACTGTCATTCTACTTCTTTGGAGCAATGACTGCTTATCAGAGAACAGTTCATGCACCAGCATTTGTTGAGATAAACACATAAACCGCCTCCTCAAGTTTTCCTCGACTGATGGTTATGGTCAGCTTGGTAGAGGAGTAACCCGTCAATCTGGTAAACTGAGGCAGGCATGTTGTCGTTTAGCCATGTTTCCGAGAGCAGAAGTACACAACAGTTCCTCATCTCTATGTACGTGCTCACTCGGAGCCCTAATAAATCCACCTTACTGTCTAGTGAGTGGACATTAGCCAAGAAGAGTGATGGAAACACAAGTCTTTTGCTAGCCTTTAGCCTAGCTAGCAGAGTGGCTCGCTTACCCCTCTTCTGCCTCTGTGTGCACTGGTTCCTCCTACCTCTTAGCCGTTGTGTTTTGCTTCTCCAGCCTGTTGTCTTCAGGAGCTTTAATCAGCCCAGCATTGTTTTATTACAATATTCAGATTCCTGAGTAGGTTGAGTTCAGATGAGCTGTACCTCGCCATACGTGAGTCCCTTGATAACAAAGTTATAGTGCATGCTGAGAAGCTGCTGCAGTACTTTGTGCTGCAATCTACACTGTCCTGTTCAGTCCAGATGTGGTGTGTTCATGTGCCACATTTGGGCCCATACAGAGGCAATGCAACACTTGGCCTTCATCACTTCTAGATTTTTTTATGTCAGCTTGTCTCTGCCCTTCGTTTGTTAGTTGGTCTTGTGCTCTCTTTTAATCAATTTGTTTAGCAAGTTGTGAAACTTGCTCTGAGCAAGTGCTACATATTAACAATAAGTAAATGAACTCACCAAAGGTTCTTCTGAAAGTGTCAAGAGATACTGTTGCTGTTTGCTTAGCAACCTTTGGTCTCTGTATGCATTGCAGACTAGTTCTGTCTGAGGTGCTGTTTATTTTGATAATACTGTTTTAGGATGAACGCGACCTCACATTTAAGTATCTGTTACAACAGTTGCTAAAAGGTGATTAGCAAGGAAAATTGTAAAGTGTGTCAATTCACATTTCCTGTTCAATATGTAAATTTTGTTCTCGCTCTCCTTCACTTCATTTCACATTGACCCTCAGCCCTGTCTTTTCTGCAGCACAGGCAACGCACAGCTCCACGGAAGAAAACAAAGAGAAAAAGCCACATTAGACACCAGAGACTGACAGTGAACCCCAGTCATCATGACCCGCTGCAGAGTGAACCTCCGCACTGTGCTTTTCCTGGTGATCCTGCAGGGGGCAGCAGTGGTGCTGCTTTCTAGGTGGTATGTCCAGCTCAGTCCCTGCAGCTCTGCCCCCTCCAACAACAAAGTTCATGTCCTGCTGCTGTCGTCGTGGCGATCCGGCTCATCCTTCCTGGGTCAGGTGTTCAGTCAGCACCCATCTGTCTTCTATCTTATGGAACCTGCTTGGCACGTGTGGACCACACTGCATAAACCCAGTGCACGGGCACTTCAAATGGCTGTGAGAGATATGTTGCGGAGCATATTCCAGTGTGACTTCTCAGTGATGGAGGCCTACCTGCCAGACCACTACAATGCTTCCTCCTTGTTCATGTGGAGTTACAGTAGAGCACTGTGCTCACCACCAGCCTGTCCTCTCACACCACACAACCAGTTCAGCAACCAGACCTTGTGCTACAAGACATGTGATGCTAGGGGCCTGCAGGGGGTGGAGAAGGCCTGTGGCACTTACAGTCACGTGGTGATAAAAGAAGTGCGGCTTCTTGAGCTGGAGTCTCTCTATCCACTTTTGCAGGACCCAAGTCTAGATCTCCGCATCATCCATTTGGTCCGAGACCCGAGGGCTGTGATACAGTCTAGGGAGGAGGTATCCAAATCCTTAGCCTTTGATAATGCTGCCATACTGGAGCAGAGGCGTGTATGGGGACGTGAGGTACAGTATCAGGTCATGCAGGAGATCTGCCGTAGCCACGTGCGCATCAATGAGAGGGCCGTCCTGAAATCCCCTCCATTTCTGAAGGGTCGCTACAAAATGGTCCGCTATGAGGATATGGCACGCAGCCCACTTGAGGAAATAGTTGCCATGTATGAGTTTGTAGGACTGGAGATGACCGAACAGTTGGAGGAATGGATTTACACAGTGACCCATGGACAAGGCAAAGGCACCAAGAAAGAGGCCTTTGATGTCACCTCACGAGATGCTGTGACTGTCTCCCAGGCTTGGCGCACCATACTGCCATACAACAAGGTCAGACGCATTCAGGCAGTGTGTAAAGGGGCCATGTCCTTACTCGGGTACAGAACAGTTCACAGTGAGCAAGAACAGAAGAGACTTGACATAGATCTGCTGATACCACGGGAACCATATAGTTTCAGCTGGTTACCAGCAAAAACCGAGCATCCTAGTAACAGTTAAAACATGAATGATAAAGACATTATCACCAAGACACTACTCTCCTCCCTGGCCGGCCCGCCAGTCTGTCACAGGGCTGACACTTAGAGACAGACAACCACACACACTCACTCCTGCTAGCAATTATGAGTCATCAATAATGTATTTGGACTGTGGGAGGAAGCTGGAGTACCTGAACATGCAAATCCTGTACAGAAGGGCCCCGAGTCAGCCTCACCTTTTTACTGTGAGGCAACAGTACTAACCACCAAGAGAGAAGATTTAAATATGAAATGACAGTACAACGGTGGTGTATTGTATTGTTCTGGAAGATGGTGAGGGGCCCCTTTATTGGGACTAATGAAAGGTGGAGATGTGGAACTAAACTGTACCACATTCATTGAGATTCGGCTTTCCTTTGTTCCCCTAAGCCTCTTCATAAACAGACCATCTCCTCATGTTCTGAGCTACACATTAGAAGTCCTGTCTGGTTGGTTTGCGAAACACAAGATCAGTTTTGCAACAGTTATACAACTCAGTTTGGCACAATCCTTTAAAAGACTTTGGATGAGTTTATGTTACAAAGCATTTGTGATGAAGTCACAGATTTAATTTGCCATGGACTCACAGTTGGTAGCATCGATTACTTAGGTACATGGTCTTGACAAACATAGAGTCTTTATTTTAAACAAACAGTACTGTTACAGCAAATACTTTGCCACTGTGTTTACATAATAATATGTGCTCATTTTCAGTGCATGTGGGCTGCTATCACATCACAGGCCCTAATACTGAATTACAGTTTGTTTTTCAGATCCCATATTTTTGTGTTGATCTTTCACATTCATGTTTGTGATGTGTGAATACCATAAACTGCCGCACCTACACAGGTTTAAATGAAATGTGCTCCCACAGAGGAGGTCAGAGGAGGCTGAGGCCAGTGATGTCACTGGCAGGATGTTTGTTGTTATTAGTGTCTATCTGGGAAGTATGGTAGCGCATTTACATTGTCAGCCAGAAAAATTTAAAGGGTCACTTCCAGCTTCATTTATTGAACTAGAGTCAGCAAACCCACAGTTAATGTTAAAATGGCACCAGGGAAACATACATCCTAACAAAGTGGGTCTACAACTATGACTGTGTGTATACTTCATTTATTTCCCAAATCCTCCATGCCATCACACATCAGGGAAATCTGGTACCATTAAAGAGTCTGTGTCATGTTCATTTTCAGCAATTTCATGTTTAATCTTGGGGCCCTCTACATTAGCTTGACACCCATCATCACTCCAGATAGTCTGTAATTATTTCAGAATGATGACACCAGAGAGCCTCTTCCTAAAAATGAGAGGATAGTTTGTGCAGCAGCAGTCAGAACAAACAGGTACTGTGCTCTGGGGGAATCCAGCATTGATCAGTTGATCATTCACCACTGCCGGGTGCTTCACTGTCCGGCTCCTTGTAGGTTAGACCCGGTCAGGTAAAACAGCGAGTCCCTGTACAGGAACATTCCCAGACATGCAGTAACCTCTGGCCCTGGATTTTTCTCCACATCTTCTGGTCACAGTGCAGCAGCAGGGAGGAAAATATATCCACAAAACCAGGCGCAGTCGCAAAATTCTGCTTCTATAATGGCACCGGTGGATGTCTTTTTGTTAATATAAGCTTTATTGAAAATACACATAAACAAGGCAATGTAACATTTTGCCAATATGGTGGGGGCACCGGTGGATGTCAAACAAGCTCACATGAACTTGCAATGGCCTGGAGATTTTGACCATTCAAGGAATTCCTTAAACTATCACATAATACTTCATTTTGAGTGAGAGTTTGCAAGATGTGTATAATCTTCTTTGCTTCTGCATAAAATTACTGGAACATACATGCACCTCATTTTTTGATCTTTAGGTCACGTCTAAGATGATAATTCATCATTGTAGATAAGTCAGAAAACAAGGAAAAGTGCCATGGGCTCTTTAATGTAAGCCTATGATAAGATTTGAGGCAAAGTATTAACATGTACCTATACCACAAAATTTAAAAATTCTATTGTTATATTTGAAATAAGCAAATCTAAGAGTTGTTACCAAAGCATTAACCTGTGTGGTTAATGCAGTTCCCCAATAATATGAAAATAGCAAAGGTTATTCCTCTGTATAAATCTGGTGATAAGCACAACCTCACAAATTATAGACCGATTTCTCTGTTGTCACAATTTTCAAAAATTCTGGAAAAACTTTTTAATAACAGATTAGATACATTTATTGACAAACATAAAATCTTATTTGATTGCCAAAACGGTTTTAGGTCGAAAAGATCGACATCCTTGGCCATTACTGACCTGATGGAGGACATTACAAGTGCTATGGATGAGAAAAAATATACGATGGGGATATTTATTGACCTAAAAAAAGCATTTGATACAATCAATCATGAACTATTATTGGATAAGTTAGAG